ATGTGGTAAAAAATTACCCCATTGAAGCACTTCTAGAATCATTGAGGCAAACAATCTAATCTTGAGTTTGCAAAAATAGAGATGACGCACATAGTATCTTTACAAATCTTGCAACAAAATATGAAAAACTGTTGAGGAAAATGAGCAATGATGTGAGAAATCTAAAGGTAAAAATTGAAAAACTATGTTTATTATGTTGATCACAAGAATAACTTTAAATATTTTTTATTTTCAAGTTTCACCTACAAGTCACACTTTGTTTGAAGTGAGAGATAATCCTTCATCGTACATGATTGATATAATTCAACATACATGTAGTTGTACAATGTTTCAAGTGGATCAACTTCCATGTTCACATGCACTGGCTGTGATAGCAACATTGAAACTGGATGTGTATGACTTGCTCGTGTATTACACAAGAGAAGCATATCTAAATACCTATAAAGAGACTGTCTTTCCTATAGATAATAAATCATAATGGAATTTACTAGAGGATGTGAGTAATAGAGTTGTACTTGCTCCAAATCAAAAGAAAAGTTCTGGACGGCCTTCTAAAAAGAGAAAGAAGCCAGCATGTGAGAGATCACAAGTTGTGAAATGTGGAAGTTGCGATAAATCATGTCACAATCGTCAAACATGAAAGAACATGGTGCCACCTAACCAGAATAATATAAAATTGAAAATAAAGAAAGATCCAAAAAAATTCAAATAGCTTAGTATAATTTTTTTACACAATAATATTCTTTATAATTGCAAATTGCTTCATTTTATTGTCGAACTATGTATTGGTTGGATTATATGAGTTGACAGATTTATGCATTGAACTTACATTATATCTCATGATGTTGCATATTTCTAGAAAGGGTTGTGTGAATAGACATTGATTGTGACTCTGTTTGTAATGATTGTGACCATCTGTGACCATTTCTAGCATAAAAGACAATTAAATAAGTGCCACGCGATTTATGTAACGTGATTTTATACTGCAAGCACACGGTGTCAAGTTTTGTAGTATATTAAAGAATTGAAAAGTGTCGAACCCACAGGGATTGATATTCGACTTCCACTGAGTACTATAATTGTGTCCGCGTTTACTTTATCTAGACAATCGGGTGTTAAATTGATGTTTGAATACTAAACTAATGTCAATGAATTAAATAATGCAATAAAAGTGAGGCAATTTCTAAAGATTAGATCAAAATTACGTAATGTCTAGGGAGTGATTTTACCGTATTCTCGATATAATTCTCAATCCCTATATATATTTCCATCAACTATTTCCCGAATTCATATGCAAGAATCCTAAATTAATTCTATTTTCCCCTCTCGAGCGTCAAATAGAACCTATTTCTATATTTTAACCCTAATATCTCTATTCCGAATTAAATATATAAATATTATCACGCACTTGGTTCTTGTTTTACCCTCAAAGATTCACATTTTCTCTCGAAACCTACAAATCTAGGTTATATTGTTCTTAGATCACGTCTAAATTTTCCTTTCTCGAGCGTCAAATTTAGAACATCAATTCATTCAATTGGTGATCAGACAACTAAAAGCATTAAGCAAGAACAATACAAATCAATTCTGATAAATTAAATGGAAATACTATAAAGAAATTAAATTATGTCTCAAATAGATTATATCAAACCCTAGATTTAAAAGTTTAGTTCATGATTGAGAAGAGAAACACAATAAAATACAAATTAAATCGCATGGAGAAGAAAAAGATAAGAAAAACTCAGTTTGTTGTTTGATTTCTTCTCCAAATCTGGTGAATTTCCTCTCAATCGATGTTTCCTTTGCCTCTTTCTCTTCAGTCGTCCAACCCCCTGAAATTAGGTCTTTGGAATGTATTTATAGTGTGTAGGAGTTTTGGAAAGATTTGGGGATGAGTTGGGCCGAGAAAGAATGGTAAAAACCCAAAAAAATTACTCTCGCAAAGCGGCGCCTGGGCGCTGACTTTTTGTAAAAAATTACAGCAGCATGGCGCCTAGGTGCTGAGGGATAGCGCCTGGGCGCTCATGACCACTTCGGTTGCACTGCACAGTTTTCAGTATTTTTATCATAATTCTTTTTTCCGATATCTGATTGAGGTGATTCAAAATGCGTTGAAAAGGTAATTCAAAGGGCTACAACTTTGCTTCTGGCATCATTCTCCAATTCGATCGTTTACTATGTCAAAAATGGGTCTGAATATGAGACTAAAAATCCGGTGCAAAACTTTTCGGTTGGAAAATGATTGATGATCATATCTTGACTAAATTTGATCCCTTTGACATCTTTCTTCATCCAATTGGCTTCCAGAACTCTCGGATCTTCATTCCAAGTTTTGACACAACTTTTGATTATGTACACCTTAGTCCTCAAACTTTGGATCTCTTACATTTTGGTCCTTTCATCCAATTTCACCATCTTTTGCCTATTTCTTTCATTTGGCCTCTTTTATCACTTGTTTCTCCACTTCGTCCATCCTTCAAAATAGCATGAAAACCACATGTTAGCACCTCTAAAATACATGAGAATCAACTAAATAATTAACTTATTGATGAGTGATATTTTATTCTTCATATCAAGGCCATTAAGCTCTCCTCATTGGAATCTTTTTTTTTTTTTCATGCGATGATTAGTTCAATGCCCCTTATTAAACACCTATTCTGGAAAATCGACCTCTAACTTAAGGTTTTCACCCAATTTTCATCCTATTGGTATCAGACAATCCACACAAAATTTAGCATGCACGGAATCCACATTTATCTCTAAATTTCCCTACAACAGTGCAATCATCCAAATATCCTAAGTTTGGTTTAAGGGTATTGTGATGTTTAATGGTTGTTTGGGTTTCAGTATCTAAGTTCTCTATTTTAACCTATAAATGTCAATCCACCTACTCATGTACAACGCCACCATCAACTCACGTGCAAAGATATTTTCCGTTTCACATGAACAAGCAAAAATCTAACTCAAATACACATAACCTATTCATAATCCATGAACTAATGTATGTTCTCAATAATATATATCATTGCCGGCAAAGCTTTCTAACTCACACAAGCATGCAACACACGAATTTTTGTTTTTATTTGACAATGCACACAAATAAAAATTAAATAAATAAATAATAGAAAAAAACAAACAAATAAATTTTTTTTTTAAAAAACACACAAAGAAAAAAAATTGCACACAAATAAGGCAAAACCAAAAAATTTAGGCAATTAGACAATTTATAATACACTCCCCCCAAACTGAAATTAAACATTGTCCCCAATGTTAAATTAAAAGAAAAAGAGGAGGACTTCCCTGAATTGTCTGAATTGCCAACGATGGTTTGGTGCACTAATGTTGAATTTGATGGACGTTTCTTCTAGCTTTCCCCCCAAACTTGAGATTTATCCAGCTTCTCCTTGTCAATGTTGTTTGATTGATCTGCGACGTCATGTTCCTGAAAAATCACAATGTAGATATTAAACTCATGGAACAAGTGGTACTTAGCTCAAACATCGATAAACAACTTGATTTTTCAAAAACCTAAGGGACGGGTAGGGTCGATGAATTCCTAAATAACAACTCTGAAATAAAATAAATTATCCTAAAATTCAAAAACAGAATAAATAAATAAAGATGAAAGCTTGGGTTGCCTCCCAATAAGCGCTTCTTTATAGTTACTAGCTTGACTCAACCAAGGTGTCGACGGTGCATCTTCGGGTGGAGCATCTGTCTTGTTTCTGAATTTTACTCTCGGCTTTGCATTCTACTTCACCGTAGCATGGCCAATAAAATCAGGCGGTTTGAATCTCGATGTAGTTTGCAAAACCTCTTTTGGTTTGGCAATGTTTAGAGATTTCAAAGGCTTAGCCACATAGCCTTCTTTTTTGTCAGGTGGATCAGCTTCTTGGGTGAATATGAAATCCACTACTTCTTTGGCTCCCGAGTATTTGCCATCAGTAGATGCATCCCTTACTAAGTAATTGAGAGCCATATATTGTTCTAAAGGGTCATAGAACACTTCTTTTTTTTCTCTGTGACCTAAAACTGCTTCAGCCGATTGGGCCATATTGCAAATGTTGACTTTTTCTTGAGGCTTTTCTACTTGATGGATGTTGAAAGTCACATGCTCTTCATTAACCCGCAGTGTCAATTTTCCTTCCTGGACATCTATCAATGCTCTTCTAGTAGATAGGAAAGGTCGACCAAGAATCAACGATATTTTCTCGTTCTCCTCCATGTCCAACACCACAAAGTCCATAGGAAGGATGAACTTATTGACCTTCACCAGTACATCTTCAATCATGCCTTTGGGATATGTGATCGATCTGTCCGCCAGTTGCAAAGTGAGGGTTGTGGGCTTCACTTCTCCAAGACCCAGCTTTTTGAACACTGATAGGGGCATTAGGTTTATACTAGCTCCAAGGTCGCACAGTGCCCTATCAAATTTGATAGCACCAATATTGCACGGGATGTTGAAGCTGCCCGAATCTTTCAATTTGTGAGGGAGCTTTTGAAATATGTCACTACATCCCTCTGTCAGCTTAACTGTCTCGAACTCCTCCAGCTTCTTCTTATTTGACATCAATTCCTTCAAGAATTTGGCATAGTTAGGCATTTAGGCCAAAGCTTCTGCAAAGGGAATGTTGATGTGAATTTTCTTGAAGACTTCCAGGAATTTTACAAATTGGTCATCAAATTTCTTCTTCATGAACCTCTGCGGGAATGGTAATGGGGGCTTCAAGATTGGTGGGTTGTTCGGAAATGAGATCGAGTAAGGCTTATAGATCTTTGTACCCTCTGCCTCAGTTTTCTGCCTTTCACTCTGCTTTTCCTCTGTAACTATGACATCCGATGTAGGCACCATAATCTCCTTAGGTTTGCTTTCTTCAACCATTTTACCACTCCTTAGGGTGATCGCATTGCAGTGTTCCCGTGGGTTAACCTCAGTGTCATTGGGAAATTTTTCTTTTTGCCAAGACTTCATTAAGGTAGCCAATTGGCCAATTTGCACTTCAAGATTCTTCATTGTGGCTCCCATGTTGGACACGTGTTTCAATATTATCCAACCGTGATTCATCTTTGTTGAAGCGTGATCTTGTCTCAGAAATGAACTTCCCAAGGATGTCACCCAAGGGTGGTTTCCCATCAGAATTCTGAGTGTTTAATCCGGGTGGAGGTTGAAGTGTGTTTCTATTGTTGCCATATGACAAGTTTTCGTGATTCCTCAACTCTGGATGATAGTGATTAGCTTGGTAGCTTCCTCTTTGATTGTAGTTTCTACTGTTGAGATATTGTGCCTGCTCGTTTGCAACCTCTGTCTCTTGGTGTGATGAAGAAGTACTTATGACTGAATTCACCTTCTGTTGATTTCCTTGAGAGGTAAGCGTGACTATCTGATTTGTGAGTGATGCAACCTGAGCTGCTAGTGCGGTGATGTGATCCACTTCATGAAGTCCTGCTACTTTCTTTACACCCAATCTCTCACTTGGCCATTGGTAACTGTTGGTGGCTATGTCATCCAATAAAGCATATGCAACCTCTACTGTTTTAGCCATTAAAATGCCTCTCGCAGCTGCATCTACCATAGTCCTTGTCTGCCCATTTAACCCATTATAAAATATCTCAATTTGCACCCATTTCTGGAACCCATGTTGAGGACATCTCCTAAACAAGTCTTTAAATCATTCCCAGGCTTCATAGAATGGCTCGAAGTCGAGTTGTTTGAATTGGCTAATTTCACCGCAAAGTTGAGCTAATTTAGAAGGTGGAAAGTACTTGGTGAGGAATTTCTGAGCCAAATCATCCCAAGTTGTAATTGAGCCATACGGTGGTGACTGGAACCAAGCCTTTGCTTTATCCCTTAAAGAAAATGAGAATAGGCAGAGTCTAATTGTATCTTCAGTAACCTCATTCATCTTCACCGTGTCACAAATTTCCAAAAAAGGATCCAAGATGAGCATTTGGATCTTCTATTGCAGCACCCCCAAACTGATTTTGCTGCACCATATGTATCAACCTTGGCTTCAATTCGAAATTGTTTGTAGCAATTGCTAGGCGTGCGATGCCGAAATAGTTGTCATTGACAACTGGCCTTATGTAGTCCCGAATAGCCATTTGTTGGTTATCCTCATTGGCTGCTCTAGCATCCTGTTCTGCCATTGCTTTTCGTCCGTTTCTTTGTATGCCTTTCAGAATGCGAAATGTGCGTTCTGGTTCAGGATCAACAGGTAGTAGATCTAGATTTCTCGCACTTCGTATAAACAATTGAAAATAACCACAAGGAAGCTTTTAAAGATATACACAAAAAGAATAAAATTAAATTAAATATTACGATAGAAATAAAAATCTAAAGTAAAATGAACGCCGATTGGTAATAATATCAATTGAATTCAAATGAATCAATCCCCGTCAACGGCGCCAAAAACTTGCCACGCGATTTATGTAACGTGATTTTATACTGCAAGCGCACGGTGTCAAGTTTTATAGTATATTAAAGAATTGAAAAGCGTCGAACCCACATGGATTGATATTCGACTTCCATCGAGTACTATAATTGTGTCCGCGTTTACTTTATTTAAACAATCGGGTGTTAAATTGATGTTTGAATACTAAACTAATGTCAATGAATTAAATAATGCAATAAAAGTGAGGCAATTTCTAAAGATTACATCAAAATTACGTAATGTTTAGAGAGTGATTTCACCGTATTCTCGACATAATTCTCAATCCCTATAGATATTTCCATCAACTATTTCCCGAATTCATAAGCAATAATCCTAAATTAATTCTATTTCCCCCTCTCGAGCGTCAAATAGAACATATCTCTATATTTTAACCCCAATATCTCTATTTTGAATTAAATATATAAAAATTATCATGCACTTGGTTCTTGTTTTACCCTCAAAGATTCATACTTTCTCTCGAAACCTACAAATCTAGGTTATATTGTTTTTAGATCACACCTAAATTTCCCTCTTTCGAGCGTCAAATTTAGAACATCAATTCATTCAATTGGTGATCAGGCAACTGAAAGCATTAAGCAAGAAAAATACAAATCAATTCTGGAAAATTAAATGGAAATACTATAAAGAAATTAAATCATGTCTCAAATAGGTTATATCAAACTCTAAATTTAAAAGTTTAGTTCATAATTGAGAAGAGAAACACAATAAAATACAAATGAAATCGCATGGAGAAGAAAAAGATAAGAAAAACTCAGTTTGTTGTTTGATTTCTTCTCCAAATCTGGTGAATTTCCTCTCAATCGATGTTTCCTTTGCCTCTTTCTCTTCAGCCGTCCAACCCCCTGAAATTAGGTCTTTGGAATGTATTTATAGTGTGTAGGAGTTTTGGAAAGATTTGGAGATGAGTTGGGCCGAGAAAGAATGGTAAAAATCCAAAAAAATTACTCCCGCAAAGCGGCTCCTGGGCGCTGACTTTTTGTAAAAAATTACAGCAGCATGGCGCCTAGGCGCTGAGGGATAGCGCCTGGGCGCTCGTGACCACTTCGGTTGCACTGGACAGCTTTTAATATTTTTATCATAATTCTTTCTTCCATTATCCGATTGAGGTGATTCAAAATGCGTTGAAAAGGTAATTCAAAGGGCTACAACTTTGATTCGGGCATCATTCTCCAATTCGATCATTTGCTATGTCGAAAATGGGTCTGAATGTGAGACTAAAAATCCAGTGCAAAACTTTTCGGTTGGAAAATGATTTATGATCATATCTTGACTAAATTTGATCTCTTTGACATCTTTCTTCATCCAATTGGCTTCCAGAACTCTCGGATCTTCATTCCAAGTTTCGACACAACTTTTGATTATGTGTACCTTAGTCCTCGAACTTTGGATCTCTTACATTTTGGTCCTTTCATCCAATTTCACCAACTTTTGCCTATTTCTTTCATTTGGACTCTTTTATCACTTGTTTCTCCACTTCATCCATCTTTCAACATAGCATGAAAACCACATGTTAGCACCTATAAAATACATGAGAATCAACTAAATAATAAGATTAGTGGCCTTGATATGAAGAATGAAATATCACTCATCAATAAGCTCTAGATTTTTTGTTTAACTATGGCTGTCAGGGATCTACAATGAATAAAATTCACATTTTATTGACTTGTGTGTTCAAACTAACTCTGTATGTCATCTTCCACTAGATGGGACCGATTCTGTGCTTACTTTTTTTTTTTGTAAAAGTATTAATCATACATGTTAAGCATTTGTGACCTGTTTGTATGTAACAAGTTAACCAACTATTGCTATTCGTGCCCATCTGTTCAAATCATGCAAATTAACCAACTATTGCTATTTGTGACGATCTGTGACTTACAGTTATATAACAAAGTACTCATATGTGATCATTTGTGACCTGTTCAGACCGTGCAAATATAAACTTTTACATCCATAAAAAACTTAGATGATATAAACAAAATCATTCACAAAAAAAAAAACAAGTACTTTCACCTTGTACCAATTGACAAAAATAAGTTCGAATTCAATTTCAAAATATATTACAAAGATAACATCTATCGACTACATCATAAAAACATTTGTTTCTCCGATTTTGAACAACTATCATTCTAATCCATCATGAAAACAATGCCGTCAACTGGAGTTCATTCACATGACTTCGAATTTTCCCTTTCAACCTGTCTCAGTTGTCTGTTTTTGAAATAGCAACGCCACAATTTCAAGTTTGGCATTCCAAGCATCAAATGAAATTGACATTTTGGCAAGATCATTGTGCAACAAATACTGTGCATACGTTATTACAAAAACACCACAATTATGACAATATTTAAATAAGACAAACCATAAGTATTACTAAATGTTGATAGAAAATGATAAAACTTGCAATGCCCGTAGGGAGACTTACCCATTTTGTTGCTGAGGTAAACCACGGACAATGTTAATATGCAGGTGTCCAAATTTGTCACCAATACAATCACTAGTTTCCGTCTATAGCCCGATAAAGATTAACAGGTGTGTAAGAGTCTTCACAAGTGGTAAAATCCCTTCACAATCCTTATTGTCCTTATACGATTTGCTGTTTAAATTATATATATAAAGGACATTGTTAGCAATGTCAAGTTGTCCTAGCATCCAATGAGCATGATTTGTAGGCATAATGGGAATCAACACAGATTCAACTTTTCTCCAAATAGTATTAAATGATAACCGTTCACCATTGATGGTTTTGATTAACTCATCCTTTTCAATGATAATGCTTGGGTTTTGAATAAATTTGGAGTGTGACGACTGGATTGTTATATCAAATATACAGTATGTAGTTGTAGCTTTCATTTTTACACCTTTACCGAACTTGGCAAGTTGTTTTATATAATGAAAGCATGCATCCAAGTGCTGTAGTAACAAAAATATACAAAAGTAATGTGAACTACTATGCATATGTGGAAAATGGTGACAATACTGTACAGTGTAGCTCAATGATGAATTAGAATTGATCAACGCATGCCACCAAGTGCACTCACCAAACAAATAAATAAGATTGTGATCGATTTATTTCTGTTTGTGACCAGCAGTGCTATGGTCACAAAAATAATAGAAAGTTACAATTCACTCAAAAACACTTAAAATCTACATTTAGTTTACCTGGTCTTGAGCTTGTATCATCTGTCAAACCAATTCTAAAATGAACTCAAATTTGTACTATCAACTCCCTTCGAATAATTTTGGAACACGACCTTTCCAAAGTTAGATTTTGATCCAGTAGCGGCATGACGTAGATCAACCTTAACGAAAGGTGATTGCAAAGTTTTCGATGGCTTTTGTACTCTCTTCACTAGTAGTCCAAATGATGGAAGTGCAGGTGTATCTTCCTGACTAAAAAATATAAAAACAACATTTCTTAAATTAGTGTATGACAATCAGTCAGAATTTATAATAAAACAATAAATGTTCCATTAAACTGAAGAAAGTCACAAGTAACACATTTCGGATCACATTTACAAGTCACAACATATATAAGAATGAATAAAGTCACAAGTCATTTGTTTCAAGTCACAATCATAAGAGATGTGTCACTTTAGAAATACGATATTCATACTTCAGATCACAAATCATATTTCATAACATAATATATGTGAAGTTCATATTTAGAATATGTCATATATGGCATTGTGAGCTCAACTTCATATGGATCAATGTCATTTATCACAACCTGTTTCACATACGATGGAAAAATATTGAGCATATGTCATTTTAAATTTATATAATTAGCCAAATGATTACATAACAATTCAAATGTATTTGAGACCTTACATTCTCACTTCCAAATACTTTGTCCTCCAACATTGTCCCTGAATGATGTTTGTGCATAGTCCAATTCATTATACGTGAATATTTCTTACAAATTTTTATGGCCATATTTCCTCAAGTGCAAGTATGCACTCATATAGCACACTTGGAAAGCCACTAAAAAACCTATCAATCTATAGTGACTAGTTTGTTTTGATAGTCACTTTCTTAGTGACGATAAGGTGGTCTCAAACAAATATCTATCCCAATAAAATGTTTCAAGAGTGGTAAAATCGTCTAAAAATGCAAAAATGTATTGATCCATCACCTTCGGATATGATGTAGCAAATAAATATAAGGTGATGGGATAAATAATCCCAATCTTAACAATATCATGGTCTAGTGCATCATCCAGTGAAATAAATACTCTTTTGACATCTTCACTTGTAACAACTTTTAAATCCCTAAAATATGTGTCCTTCATGAAAGACGATTTTTCATCTAACACCAATCAACTATCGACCCTATCATACCTCAATCCCGTTAAAAGATAGAATCCAGCAATTGAGAAACGAATATATCTCCCATTCAGGTTAAACTACATCTCCTGCTTGATCAGTTGCTTAACCTCCCGTACTAAAACTTGA